TTACTTTATATATATATATATATATATATACACATACACATATATGTATATATATACATATCATAAATAAAACTGCGAGGCTTCTAGAAAAGTATACGAACATAAAATGTCTGTTTCACTTTTCTCTACAACTTTTGTTCCCAACATCTTTTGCTCCAACAAATATTTAACAAGTTACACTCAAGATGCATGCAGAAACACATGCTAGTCTACATACAAAGTATATGTTACTGCTGCCCAATTTTAAATGAAACTGAAATGTGTCAGTAAATTTTATTAAAGGGCTGCGCCATTGCTCAAGCGGTTAGTTGCTGGCTTCCCACCGCGGCGGCCCGGCTTTGATCCTGGGTCTGGTCAAGTTGGATTTGTGGTGGACAAAGTGGCGCTGGGGCAGGTTTTCTCTGTGTACTTCCATTTCCCCTGCCAATTTCCACCAACTGATCCACAATCACCCTCACCTATCATCTGGGGCTGGTACAATAGGCCAGAAGTGGCCACAGTACAAGGGACTTAGTCCCACCCTGTTAGCAATAAAAAAAAAATTGGTAAAGCTCCACAATATTGAATATCATGAGAATCCATTCAGCGATTCTAGAGCTCTTACATGGAGACAGAGAGAGGCATGGTGAAGTTTTGGTAAGAGCAACTGCTATAGTTCGACATACAGCAAAACACAAGGGCATTAGACATTTATAAAACGGTAAAGGTAAATTTGTCCCTGTGCTTAACGAATTTAGCACTATGCCATGAAAGCGTACGGGAGAGTGGATGTACAGATCCACACTTTATTGACCTTGGCACTAGCTGGAGGTCAGTGGTCAGCTTCACGCCCCAGCCACTTTACCCCTGGTGAAAGAGCCCCCAGTACCCATCGGATAGGAGGTTGAATGGACCCTAGAATTGGTCTGAATGATGTGGAGAAGAAAAAATTCTTGACCCTACAGGGACTTGAATTCTGACCCCTCGGTCATCCAGCCCGTAGCCAGTTACTACACTGACTACACTATCCAAGCTCCTGTATAAAAAGTACATATTGTGACATGTTGACCCCTAGCCCCCCAGCTGCACGTAGCGGTAACGTAGCGCTCGCGTAATAGGCGAGTAATCACCCCGCATCCTGGTAGCTACGCAACGCGCAACGCGCGGTGACGTCACGAGCGGAGCCGACATGATCCGGGCGGAGCCGACGTTAGCCGAGTCCCCGCGACCTTGAAGCTATGCAAAGCGAATCAACAGCGGTGATGTCACCGAGGGATATCGCGGTTGCTAGGCAGCAGTCAACAACTCCGGACAGCGTGGCTAGCAACACGGACCAGACGACAATTGTCCGATCAAGGCTACATAAGGAGCAGCGAAGGCTATTCACAGTCAGTCAGTCAGTCAGTGCGTTACCAACGAGTTCTCAGTTCGCAAGTTACGAGCTACAGACGCGTGTGCGATAACCAGTGATAACCAGTTATATCTGGAGTGTGTAATTCAGGGAGACTTGTATAGCTCCCGCGTTATTAATACGTGAAGACTCTTGAAGATAGTGTTAAGAGATTTTGTTGTAGGGTTTGTAAAGTGTGGAAACCCGTAATATTGTGATAATTAATTGTAGCCGTTGTTTGTAGGTTGTTAAATAAACCAATTAACCATCTCTACGGCGTCTTCAGTAACGTAAACACGTTACACTGGTGTCAGAAGTGGGATTAGAACTTACACACGTGACCGACGAGATTCGATCTCAAGACACGCGACAACTGGTGTCAGAAGTGGGATTAGAACTTACACATGTGACCAACGAGCTTCGAACTCAAGAAACTCGACAACTGGTGTCAGAAGTGGGATTAGAACTTACACACGTGACCGACGAGATTCGATCTCAAGACACGCGAAGTCAGTCAGTCAGTCAGCCCTGGAGCTACCTCCGAGCGAGTCCTCGAGCTACCTCCGAGTTAGTTCCGAGTTAGCCAGCAACTAGTCAGTTGTATTGTGGCATTTGGAATGTACTAATTGTGATACTGCAGATAGCAGTAATTGTAAAACTGTCAATTGGGTGATTGTAAGTGCGAATGTGAAATAAAATTCGCTACATCAAATACGGCGAGAATTTGTCGCGATATACGCCCGACACGCGACAATATTTTTTATATACTTAACATCTTTTGGAGTTCAATTTTTTAATGGAGTTAGAAGATAACAATTACAATTGATCTGCCAAGTAAACAGAATGGTCAGAGCGATGGTACCAGTACAAGGAGGGGGAAAAGAGGAGAGACAAGTATGTCTTTACATGTCAGTGATACCTTTACAGTTGTAAATAGAGATATACAGATATAAGACAATATCATAGCTGGAATAAAGATGTGATAAAAGTGGCCAGAGGTTGGGTTTGCTTCAAGCACTTCAGTTTCTCCCATCAAATCTCATTCCACCAAGTGCTCCACATTCATCACTCACCCTACCATCAACACTATATGGTCTCAGTACTGACAGCGTTCTTCAGTAACCAACTTAAAAAGAAATAAGGCCTCATCCATAATGGAGTAGTTAAACTAGACCTCTAATATGCAGTTCATACATACAGCACAAAGAAGTAATCCAGTTACAGTTACCTAATTTTATGCTGAGAACAATAAACATTAAATGCTTCAATCTCCTTACTTTGTGTTAGGGCAAAAGGGGTCTGGGCACTTAGCCTCGGCGAGAACAATGAATTGCTTTTCAGCCTCATAGGTTTCAAGGCTCTCCTTAATGGCCAGTTTCATCAGTTCATCCTCAGTTCTTTTAGCCCCACAGATAGTTAGCGTTTGTGTTGGAACATCAGAAAATAGATCTGCACCAGATTTCTTTCGCCAGCAAGTTAACTCAGGCACTGGTGAAGTTTGGTACACTGAAAGAAAATAATTTATCTTTCACAAATGGATTATTTACCAGAACATCAAAGCGATTACTTTTCAAACCAAATGTTCCAGTTCAAATTAACAAAACCTAATTGTCTCCAATTTTCAGAAAATTCTTTCACTCTGTCGATGTTATAAATTTAAGCAATTTCAGTGGAATCTTAAGCTTCTTAGTGATCTCCTAAAAGTAAGTAAAAAGGTAAAGGTATCCCTATAACAGGCTGTGGAGGTCCATAGGGTTGTGAGATGTTGAGGTTCCCACATTGTCTAGACAATTGGCACATAGATGGCGGCAATGTTGTCAGCCTTACGCACCGGCCGGATCTTAGCCCCAACAGCATACTCATTTCTGTTAGAGGCTGAGTTGACCCCAGGGTCATAGTGTGGCTGGAAGGATAAGGTAAATTGAAAAGAATATCAATGACCTCATCGGGATTCGATCCCGTGACCTTCCAGCTTGTAGCATAGTGTCTCAACCAACTACACTACCACGTGCCCCTAGTAATCTCCTATTCATGGAAATTCTTAATTGAGTTCCTATTAGAAATGCTGTTTCTAATGCCACTGGTTTTCATTGACAACTCAGATCATGGTTACTGTTTAGACACACAGTTTCTAATGACTTCCGTATACAGTAGTGAGCCAGGATAGCTCAGCTGGTATAGCAACTGGCTACAGGCTGGATGACCGAGGGGTCAGAGTTCAAGTCCTGGTAAGGTCAAGAATTTTCTCTTCTCCAGGTCATCCAGACCAGCTCTGGGGTTCACCCAACCTCCAATCCAGTGGGAATCAGGGGGCTCTTTCCCCAGGGGTAAAGTGGCTGGGGCATGAAGCTGACCAATCACCTCCAGCTAGTGGCAAGGCAAAGAAAATGTGGATCTGTACATCCACCCCTACTTTTTTCTTTTTACTTTACCTTTACATATACAATAAACGTTTCCCATTATTCATTTTTTTGTTTAATGATACTGCGAGTAATTCATACTGTACAGCATCAGATACTTGAATGGCAGTGAATAATGAAATGCGAAGGATGTGGAAGTAACTGTCATGGATTAATTTAAGATCCAGTGCTATCCCAATATACGCCTGAAGGCAGTGCAGGAATCCATGAAAAACTAGTCAAGCTAAGTCACTGTCCAAGTTTGGTCATTTATCAGCAATTTGTCCATGCTACTATATTTGTCCAAGACTGGATAGCAACACACTGATGAAATATCTTCCTCAGGATTTTGGGTTTGAAGTTCTCTGTGTCACTCGACAGTGGATGAAGCTACCTTTTCTTGTCCCTTGGACATATCTAGATCATTTTCTACTTATTTCTTTATAGCAAAGTGCTACAAATGGCTAGAGAACTGAAAAAATGGACCAGTTTAGAGGTGAGCCAGAAGCAGAGTTGTTGGAAATTGAAGTGATAACAGACAGGAAATAAACTAGGTATCTCTGAGTGAAGCAAATATACTACCACCAACCTAATGTGCTTTGCATTTAAGTGGCAAAATTCCAGTTAAAATGAGAATCAGTAAGAAACTTCAATTACATTCTTTCACTGTTTCTGTAACCATACTCACTGTGTTCTCGCTGTCTGGGTGCATGTGAAGGTTTCTGATGGAACTCCATATATTTCTGCTGAACAACTGTTTCGAGAAGGGGTCTCTCCAATTCCTCCATGCTGATTACAGCTTCAGTCCTGTTCCTGCGCCTCCCTTTGTTCTTAGTTTCTTTTGTGCCCTTAAAATACTCATCACTCTCTTGTCGTTTCAATGGCACTGACCGCACTGTCACTTCTTCTATATTATCTGTGTTTACTGTTTTCCATGATCTGGAACCAGAGTACAACCATGCTCCACTTAACACTACCCCCTGTAATGCTCTTTACTCTGGGATTCATGAAGAAGATTAATGATGCAATGAATATCATAAGAGAAAATTACCCAAATTTTGAATACAGTATTAAAATTAGGAGAGCTTCTTATGATATGATATCCTGGTACAAAGAAATTCTCTGAGAAAAAGAAAGCTTCTAGCAAGACAGTCTTGATGTCTTCTTCAAGGTGGACTACAACTAAGAAATGAACCGGAGCCCACTGACCTTTAAGTAATCTTATATGTATTTTATAAGGAATTTTAAATACATTAACAATATTACTTGGACATTTTATTTATTGTATAACTGTAATAAATATGATGTTAGGAACGCTTCCATAACCACTATACTAAAAAGACCCCATATAATGATTCAGTTAGCGCTCCTATTTCAAGGAATGCGTTTCCAGTTCTAGATATACTTTGACTGTAACCAAAGTTTTTGAACCCAAACCATTAATTAACTTAACTCACTGCCTTCAAACTACAGGAAATTTTACTAAAGTTTGTCAACACACTCAAATTCTAGTTAATATGAGCGAATAGACTATATACAAAGACCTATGTGCATTTCTGTGTGTATCTCAAATGTAACTTGGTAAATATTCATCACAGCAAAAATTGTTTCAAACAAAAACTGCAGAGAAATGAAGCACATACTTTATGCCCAATATACGTTTCCGGAAGTCCGTCTGTTTAGAGGCAATTAAACACAAGAGCACGAACATGTCATAACTGCTATTGTGTCACAACCCCCTGTGACCTGTTTATTATTATGAAAGTGGGGGTGAGGCACTCCAATTTCTTATTCTGATCCCAATGCTGTCACCAATTTTACTGTGGTGCACAACTGTGGCATCCAGAATCGGACCAAACCAAGATCACGGAATTGCATTTTAAACCCACTGTCACTTTAAAGCTCTATAAACTATTTTTTTTTTGATAACGGAAGCTTGTTCTCACTATGAGTATGAGGGGTGAGCCATAAAACTGGCCTTCCCACTGCGACCTTCAATGATCTATTGTGCTTAAAGGTCGTTCTCATGATTGTAAACCAGATATGAATCGCAAACCCATAGACATTTCTCATAAAAGTTATTCGGAAAATATGTTTCAAATTCTGTTTCACAGAATTGAGGTGGTCATAAAACCTTTCCAGAAACTCAGAATCAACAGAAATATCATTTTCCACTAAAAAGGATTTCAATGTTGGAAGAGGTGCAACTTGTCTGTCTTTTACATAACTAATCCATAACACCAGGTTTTTTTCTCGAATGCCTTTATTTTGTCGTAGGCATCAAGAACAGCATTTCCCTGAAGGGAGAGATTTAGTTCATTTAATTTAGCAAAAACATCTAAAAGATATGACAGTGGTAATAACCATGCTTTGTCAACAAGAAGTGATGCAAAATCAGAATTATGTTCCTTTACAAACAATAAAACTTCTTGCCTCAACTGAAATACCTTTGTTAGTACTTTGCCCCTGGAAAGACAGCAAATTTCAGAATGAAGCAAAAGTTGTGTATATTCATTGCCCATTTCATCAGAGTATGGAAAATAACCTGTTACTTAACGGTCGAGCCTTAACAAAATTAACTAGCTTTACAGCATTGTCTAGCACAGTTCTAAATTCTGGCAGCATTCCTTTGGAGGCCAAAGCTTCCCTATTTATGAAACATTGTATCCAATTCTAATCCTGAACTACTTCCTTGACCTTAGAAACAACCCCATTATGCCTGCATGTAAGGGCGTCAGCTCCATCCGAACAGAAGACCACACATTTCTTTCACTGGATCCCTTTGTCTCTTATGTAATTATCGAGAGTGTGAAATATTTCTCCTCCAGTTGTTCGGGTTGACAAAGTTCTACAAAACAGAATATCGTCTTGAATGTTGTTATCATGTGCATATTAACTGCACATCATCTGCAACATCAGTAGTCTCGTCTATTTGTAACGCATTATAGGGGCTCTTCTTAACTCTTCCGATTAACTGAGATTCTATGTCTCCTGCCATATCGTTAATTCTACGACTGACAGTGTCATTTGAAAAAGGAATCAAACCAACATCTTTTAATAACTTGTTGCCAAACATAGTTTTCACCACATCTTTTATAGCTGGAAGAAGTAAATTTTCCCTGATAGAATGAGGTTTCCATTTTGGCTATGCACAATCTTAAGAGGTAGTTCCAGTGCCTTGCTATTAAACGAACCCATGACCGAAACTATATTTTGCCCATGATTTAAAGTCCCTAAGCATCACCGAAAAAAATTCAATTGGCTTATTTTTCACACAATGTTTAGTTTCTAAATGTCGTCATAGTTTCACAGGTTTCATGCACTCGTTCGACAACACTTCATAACACAAACACATTGAGGTTTCTGTTCACTTTCATCACCACACCAAGTAAGCCCAAATTCCAAATATGGACTGTTATATTTCCTACTATATTTTTTCTTTGAACTGCTTGCTTCTTCAAATTTAATAGTATCACATTTATTCAACATTATAACATGTGTATCACAATTACGGTTAGCATCACCTGTTTTGTTTGCCTTTCTTTTCAAAGTTCCTGTTCTAAGGCACTTTTCCATTTTTCTGAAAAATGTATAAAAACTGGAGTTAACTCATGACACACTTTGTCCAACTATCAATCAGCACTTCTGAAGATATACTGAGCGTTCATTGAAAGAGGAAAACTTTTAGTAATAAATAACAATAGACAACAGCCAATTGGTTGAAAGGTATATAACATGTTTACTACAAATCTAACAAAACAGCAAGGGAAAGCGGGAGCAATGAAACCATAATGTTGTTCACTGCACCCTTCTTTTATTATCTGTCTTTCTGTAGCTACCAATTATTGGTGCAGTCCCTTCTCTGAAGTTAGTGACAATGCAGTCACACTCTCATACCCTGGAAATACCGGATTCTTGTCTGGCCATTGAAATGTTCATGGAATTAGAAAGACTGTCTTTTTTTTCCAGTANAATAAAGACTATGATATAATTAATTTTTACTTGCTTATTTAATTTTAACTTCTTTTGTTTGGATAATTTTTTATTTAATTTAAGTCTGCTGTCATTGCAGACCGCAGGATGAGAAACGCTGTTATAAACTATACAACTGAAGCTGGATGCCTGAGGAATGTGCTACGTCTAAAGGTGATCTCAACGCTGGTTTCCAGCTGACCAACCTGTGGTTCACCTAACATATTTCAATTTACAAGACTTATAATAAATTTCTAATAAATTATACATAAGATCACCCCCTCATTAAATAAAATCATAAAATTAATAACCTGGGGCACAACACTATTATGTTATGCATACATTTCCTAATTTGTTTACCTTTAGTGGCCAGTGACTATTCTACCCTTTAATTTAAACTTTGCAGCACAATGGTTTCAACAAAGCTGGCCATTACAAAACCTCAGAAATTGAAATCAGGAGTCCCTTATATAATTAATGGAGGTGTTAACCCACTGTCAAGTAACATGGTCTCTGACACATGGTTGGCTGCTCTGTAGAAACTGTTCTGCCCTGTCCACAAAACAATTTAAGTTCATGCTTACACTGTGCTAATATTTTGTCTTGTCATCAATATGACAGCTTTACAGTCTTCTGTGGTCTTTCTTTGACCAAAGAATGCCTTTTGTTTATTGATATATACCAGAGATGAACCAGAACTAAGATACTTTCTCTAGGTGCACTGCAATAGATGAGACTCACAGCCATTTAAACAATGTAGCAAGGATAGGCAGATGTGATTTAAAGAAGTCTTCACAGGGTTAAATATGTATCTATGACATAAAAATTTTGTCTCCCAACCAAAATATAAGATTACCTTCCCAACTCGGTCTGAATATTCTGGTTTCGTAACCACGTCATCTTACGAAATACCTCCAGTATATTTGCGTGATGGTGTTGGGTGTCATCAGGCATCTCCACCTGCTTGTTCTTGTCCGTGCCTTCCTCAGTGCATTTTTCCTTCCTGAAAAATTATATCTAAGTGAACTGTTACCCAGTATTTACACTGCTTCAGATTAATCAGTTGTTCTTCCATGTATTTAGTTGAATATTCAGCATATTAAAACAAATCTGTAATGAAAACTGTAAATCATAATGTGATTTACATTTAACGAACGTATAGTCTTTTTGGAAAATGACCCATTTATGAGAAAACTAGCACTGATTTGAGCTTCATGCAAAACAGGGTTTATGTTCAACTGATATAAACCAAAATAAATTTGATTTACAATCTTCTGATAAGCAGCACTCACGGGGAAGAAGACTGTACAAAATTTTGGTAGGAAAACCTGAAGAAAAGACACCATTAGGAAGACAAGAGGCATAGATAAGATACTATTAAGATGATCTTAAAGAAACAGGATGGGGGGTTTGGACTGGTTTCCTTTGGTTCAGAACACATACCAGTGGTATGCTCTAAAGAACCTTTGAGTCTGATAGCATTGAGAATTTGAGTAACTGATCAAACTACCTGTATTTGCTTCACAAGGACACAGCCACAGGACTTAGTCTTCTGGCATATGCTGTTATGACGAAGTTATTTAACAATGTTTAACAATCTTCTGCATCCATCTTCAGGATAGGTGCTTTTCTACTCTGAAGGTGGAGGCAGTGGGTAAATCCAAAATACTGATAAGTATCTACCACACTACACACTTCCACATTCCAAAAAACAATCTTCATAGTTACTGGTATGATGACCTCAAACATGAAATTTATTTCAGAATATGTGGTAGGGACACCAAACATAAACTTCATTAAAGTACATTCTGCAGTTTCACAGACAAAGTCAGTGGACAGATGGAAAAATGGACCAGACCTCCATTCTCACCTTTTCTGTAAATCTTCCTGTGCTTTCTGCAGCATCTCTTCGACTCTCTTTCGGTTTTTTGCTTTCAAACATTCAACATCATCTTCAAGCTTCTCACTATATTCACATTCAAAACCTTGTTTCTGTGCCTGCAAGAAGGGTGTGAGGTGGTCCACTTGTGGCTTCTCCTTGTCAGTGGAGACACAACCCACAACATGGGATGAAGCATCACCATCCTTTACACTGTTCTGGCCCGACACTTCACCACTGGTCTCTCCTGAATCTCCAGTTTCCTTGCTCATCACTGCTGCCTGATCTACATAAAATTAAATTAACCTATAGAACTGCAAACCTGACATAATCATTAAGAGTCCTTTCATTTCTCAAAATTCATTCCCGATTTAAAACAAAAATTTACTTTTAAAGGCTTGATATTTTTGCGGTAGGTTTTTAGATTTATGTTTTCAATTCATCGCTGGGATAGCAACAAGCTATGAGTTGGATGGCCAGGGTTTGATTCTTGGCAAGGGATGATTTTTCTCTTGTCCATTCATTTATTCATCATTCCATAAATCCTTACATGGTTAAACACCAATGGATACAGAAATAGTCAACATGAGTAAACATCACATACTGCATCACAATTGTGTAGTGTCATACCCGTTAAAAATATTAATATACAACATGAACAAAAACCTTCATCTATAACAGTAATGCGCTATCAACTACCACCCATAACAAATCCGAAATTTTAATTGTTGTCACAGTTAAAATATTCGTCCAATGAATACTGAATTTAAAAATAGGAATATTTTAACAGCAGACCTAAATTTTTTCATCTCATGAGCTTGGTCTTTTATATTAGGTGGAAGTTTATTAAAAATTTTAATTCCAAAATAATATGTTCCCTTTTGAAAGACAGTTAAGTTACACGAGGGATAATGGAGGTTATTACTATGTCTTGTGTTGATTGTATGAATCTCAGAATTAGATGAAAACAGATCTTTGTTTTTGACCACAAATAACAAAACGGAAAAAATGTACTGTGAGTAAAGTGGCAGAATTTTTAATCTCTTAAACAACTCCCTACAAGAATCTCTACTTCTAGAACTGGTGATGACTCTTATTACCTTCTTCTGTAGTCTAAAGATACGGATGCAGAGGGGCGAATTACCCAAGAAAATCAGGCCATATGTCATAACAGAATGAAAATATGAAAAATATACCGATCTCATTGATTCTAATGACATATATAGTTTAATAGCCCTAACTGCATAGAAAGCTGAACCCAGTTTGGACATGAGCCAGTCAATGTGTCTTTTCCATGATAGGGTATTATCAATCATCAGACCAAGGAACTTAATATCAGGGGTTGTAGCAATCTGACTGTTACTATAAATGATAGGTATGTCCATTGTATTACTATTCTTGGTTGAGAAACGCATAAAATATGTTTTATCGAGATTCAATGTCAGTAAGGTAGGCTTGAACCATTCATTTATATTCTTGAATATTAAATTTAGTTTGTTTTCATACTCAATACGATTAAAGTTCTTAACAATAATCCTGGTATCATCCGCGAAGAGAATAGGTATCGATTTACTCTTTATAAAATTTGGCAGATCATTAATGTATACCAAAAACAATAAGGGACCTAAGATTGATCCCTGGGGAACACCACTGACAGTCTTACCCCAACTTGAGTGAGTGCACCTCTTATTAGTTACAACTCTTTGATGTCTACCATGAAGGTAGGATTCCAGTAACGCATTACCTTTCCCTACTATTGCATAAAACTTCAATTTAGATAATAGAACATATTGATTAACACAATCAAAGGCTTTATTTAGGTCACAAAAAATGCCTCCAACTGGTATTTTATTATTCAAGGCCTTTACTTTCATTAATTAAATTATATGAAGCAAGTTTTGTGGATGAATCACACCTGAAACCATATTGGTGATTGGATAATATATCTTTATGTGATGGAGCAATCTTACAAATATAACCTTTTCAATAACTTTTGAAAAGGATGTAAGTAACAATGTAATGACAGCAACCAGACCACCTCTGGGGCCCACCCAGCACCCTATCCAATTGGTACCAGGGGCTCTTTCCCCCTGCATAAAGCAGTCAGGGCATGACACTGCCCACTCACCTTGATGTAAGTACCAAGGTCAAGAATGCTGGAGCCATACCTCCACTCTCCCATACATCTTCTTGGTATAGTGCTTAATTAATTAAACACAGGGGCAACTTTACCTTTTTTACCTTCATGTTTACAACTGGGTGATGAAACATTTATAAGAGTTGAGAAGGAGAGGTTCTGTCAACACTTGCCCTAGCTCAGGTGGTTAGTTCAGCTTTCACACTGCAGTGATCCAGATTAATCATGGGTCATGTCATGTGGAATTTGTACAGAAAAAGTTGCACTCCTACCTGTATGTATGTCAGTCACTCTTACTAGTTCTCAGTCTATCACTTGTGTCTCATTCATTAACAATTCCATCATCCAGTCCTATATAACCGTGTTACTGACAGCACCATTCAAATCACCAACTTCTTATATAACCTAAAGTTGGACATATAGAAAACATGTAACTGTCCGTATCGTTGTAGGCTTTGCCTAGCATCAGCTGTTTACTTGCACATGCTAAGCAATGATACTTGCGCTGTCACATTTGCTTGAATGTGGGCAGTTCCCACATCACTCCCTGGCAGAGATGGTTGGTCAGTTGTTGAAGCGAACAGGAAAACGTATGTGACGTCCAGAGCATGTAGTTCATGCTACAGGCAGTGGTGGCATGACATGCGGAACCGCGGTTGGGGTTGTGTCAGCTGTGGGGTTGAAGGTCTTGGCGGTGGTCCTGCAGCCTGTCTCGTTCAGCAGGTTTGACTCTGTCAGTTGACACGGTGATGGGCTTGCCACGCACGAGGATTTGCATTGTCTTCTCCTTCTGTGACAGGACCTGGTAGGGGCCACTATAGGGGGGCTCCAACGTTCTGCGAGTCATGTCCAGCCAGAGGAAAACGTGTGTAACTTCTCAAGGTCGCTGTGCACAAATGTAGCCTGAGAGGCGTGGCATGTTGCTGTAACTGGTCTGAGGCGGGACATATATTGGTGGAGTTGGGTGACTAGATGCGCTGGATCCACTGGATCAGCAGTCAGAGTTAGCAGTTCTCCTGGTATTCTTAGTGGCTCACCATACACGAGTTCAGCTACTGATGCCTGCAGGTCCTCTTTGAATGCTGTGCAGATTCTGAGGAGAACCAGGGGCAGGGCTTCTGTCCAGTGTTTGTCTGCGTGGCACATGATGGCTGTCTTTAGTGTTCAGTGGAAACGTTCAATGAGTCCATTTGCTGCTGGGTGGTGGGCGGTTGTCCGCGAGAGTTGAATGCCACAGAGCTTGGCCAGGGAGTGGAAGAGTTGAGATTCAAATTGACATCCCTGGTCAGTGGTGATGGTCTGTGGGCAACAGAAGTGGGATATCCAGCCGGTCACTAGTGTGCGTGCCACTATGTCGGCTGTGATGTCCGAGATGGGGATGACTTCTGGCCAGCGGGTCAAAGTCGACTGCAGTGAGGCAGTATGTGTAGCCTCCTGACGTTAAAAGGGGTCCCACACACCTTTAGGATGAATTGATTACAAATTCCACAGTACCTTCTTTCTTATTTGAACCCGAAATTCATATTTTAGCTAGAAAATATGCATTACATATATTTTGGCATGTATGGTATTTATAGTATGGTTCTATGAGACTGCAGCAAACAAACTTGCCATTATGGTGTCACCATCCATAAATTAACAAATATAAATATGATAAAAGCCTCAAGGCTTCCATTACAACCAATGAAAGGACACTCAGATGGAAGGCGGCTAGGAAAAGTTGGTGAGGCAGTTCAGCAATCTAGTCGTTCTGCAGAACCACTTTTCACACAGCTATCATACATGAACTCTCACTATTCCAACATGTGATGCCAAAGTGGCTCTTTAGTCCAGCAAATAACATCACTGATGAGCAGACGTATAGGTCCACCAGTCTTAACCTCAGCATTATACGAGTATGGACGTGAGTGGTCAGCTTCATGCTCCTGCCACTTTATCCCCAGGAAAACAGCGCCCCCCCCTACCCATTGTATAGAAGGCTGAATGGGCCATAGAGCTTGCCTGGACACTATGGAGAAGAGAAAAATCTCTTCCCCAATGGGAATCAAACCCTAACTTCCCAGTTATCCAACCTAGCGGCTATACCAACTGAGCTATACATGCTAAATACAGTACAGCAGTGGGGGGTTTAAGAAACATGGGTTGTCACGTGTTGGGTGCATAACGTGACAAATAACTTCACGCCGTATTGGATAGAGCGAATTTATTCCACGCGCTCTTACAATCACACTAGTTTACAATCTCACAACTACTGCTATCTGCAGTATTACAATTACTTGGCCTGAGAAGGCTAGACTACAACTGACTGGTTGACTGACTCACTGCTGGCTAACTCGTAACTCACTCTTGAATAGTCTTCGCTGCTCCTTATTTAGCCCCGTTACGGACAACACAGAAAACAGTTACGTAATAGGCACCACTGTTGTCTGACGCTGTGTTTGCCGATAGCCTAGCAACGCTGTCGGGAGTTGTTTACTGCTGAGTAGCAACGGTGGCATCCCATGTTACATCACTGTGGGAGGGGGCGGGGTGTTGACTGGCCTATTACCGTAGCAACGGCAATGCTCCGAAGGTGTTACGTCACCGCTGACAGCAGAAGGGGTGTCATGCGTCACAATATAAATCAGATGGTCCATAACACACATACTCATCTCATGGTAGCTATTCAATGACTTCATGGGGCACTCAGCACTTTGTGGACCATGTTTGCTGTAAGTCACTTTCCTTACCATCTAAGACATTTTCAATATATGCTGTATTACAGATGAAGACTCATACATGAAATACTGCATAAATGCACATTTCTGCGATCCTAAATGGCCAATTCCCCCAGAAAAGGAAAAGAATAAAGACTTCATGTTCAACAATGACCCATTTTCTTAAGTAGGTCTTTGTTCCTCATGAATTGCATACACTTCATTCAAACATATACCATGAACAATATACCAAGTAAGGCTGCTCTTGCTGAACACCCTCGGGACTTCCCTAGGTTGAGACACTGGCTACCCTGGGTCAATTTTTGTGATTTTCCTCAGCCCCTCCCAGAAAATTACCTTGATTTGGCCACAACCACTTCCAACTGTTCTCCAATTTATGCACTACCATTCAACACTATATTGCACAGCTACTAACAGCATCATAATATAACCCCCCTTATTAATACCTCCAGTGAACAAACAATACAATGAACAGTCTGAGGAGAGCAGCAACTCTAGGGTACGTGGACCAAGGATGACATGGGAATACAAGGGTACACAATAGAAACAACCTGGAGGATCTTCTGTTCATCAGTTGGTACCCATCATCCACTTTGAACAATTCATACAGCAAAGACCTACCTCTTCATTATAACAATCTACACTTTTTCTTATACTTTTTAATTTGATTTAACAGCACTTACTAGAAGTTACACAAACACTTCATACCAAACATATTTTATTGAAGATACAGTGACATACTGGCTCTGCTATCTGTGTAAATGTAAGGTACAACTATGTCTGTTAACAGGCCATGGACGCCCATTGGATTGTGAGAAGTCAAGGCTCTCACATTTTCTAGATAATCGGCTCAAAAATTGCGGTGAGTTTGTCAGATTTACGTGCCGGCCGCCCTTTACCCCCAGGAAGCATCCTGGTACTCATTTTTTTTTAGAGGCAGAGTCAACCCCAGGGCCATTGTGACTGGAAGGATTTGCTCAACTGAAAAATCCAATGACCTCATCGGGCATCAAACCCGAGACCTCACGGCTTGTAGCACAGTGCTTCAACTAACTACGCTACCGCGTACCTCCTGCTATCGATGTAATATGATAACTGTCTAAATATAACCACAATCGCAAGACAATACTGTGGGGATCATGACACTAAAACTACGTTCTAGTTACCATAAAACTGTTCCAAATAATGAGCTTATAACCTTTAACTTCTAACGCTGTGACGTATACTACTTATAAAATAGAAGTAAGTAGTAAGAACTGTCAAACATGCTTCCTTCTTACCAATACATAAACAACACAAGACTGAGAAAACTAACCAGTTCCTTCCTTACCTCTCAACTAAACAGACTTCCCACCATTGTTAACAAAACTGACATTTATGATTACTAAATCTATTTAATGCATACACACAGGAACATTGTGCTGTTCTTATAAGCTGGCATCCACATACCAAAAACATGCCATCTCAATAACCAACTTTACAAAATTCATTCAATTCATGGACCAGCTACCACCAACTACTGACAAAACACGCGGACATCTATCGTGAAGATCGTGAATATCTCCGACTTTTCCGACCGACTCCTCAGCGATGTATACCACGGATCACCATAGATCGGATATGATTGTTTATAAATGACAGGTACAGGTCTGTATGGCCATCTTTTCTTGTATGCTATACTCCCACTAACCGACTTCTGTAGCTCAACAGGTCATAGGGCCTATTGCAATATGTTGAAGTCAAAACACACTGGGTAGACAAATCTTTATTTGGCCATATAAACTGCCTACTTAACTATTTAGAGACGTATCTTCTTCTCATTAAAAAATTTCTGGTTTCAAATGATTGGGCTGGCTAACCCAAATACAGATATTTGTAATTTTTGGTAATCCTTCTAAATGAATTCAAAAAAAAATGCAAAAACTCACCACAGCTTCCTTTTCCTTATACTTGACACAGTCATGGAATGCATAATTATAAAGAATTATGACAGGTATATTTTTAGTTATGTCAAACATGTCTTGGATCCTTTATATACTCATCAATATGAAAGAAAGAATGCTTTCTTCAGTTGCAGGAACAGGGTGAGACATAGTAGCTTGTTAC